TCCTCCCTGCAGAGGAACTTTTCTTGATAGGGGAAATCATTCGTCCTAGCAGTTGACCAATTTCAATGGATAGCGAGTGCGAGAACCCCGATCCTTTTGGTCATCACTTCGATTAACCTTGGGAGGTTACCACCACGATTATCTGCAGGAGATACTCGTCCGAGCAACGGTCCACCCGCCCGAAGAGGAGAGACAGCGCAGTTCTCAGACTTGCTTAAAACGGTAAACAAATACTTAAGGGAACTGAGGCATCAGCTGTTCTCTCCTGATGATAATGATAACGAGGCAGATTCTGGAAGCGAGAGCACCTTCAACAATAATAATAACCTTCCTGCCCCTGCCCGCTGCCAGTCGAAACACAGACTCAGACAGACCGTCTTTCATGTCCGAGGATTCGGGTTTTGAATGGTGGATCCCGGATGCCACGAACACCTCGTGGTCGTATGATAGCAACAATGCAGCGACGCACTTACGTCTATCATCTCGGAGCTCGAGGACTCAATCTTCAGCGACGGCGGTGATTCTGTATGCCCCAGGTGGGGTCCTGCTGTACCATATCGATATTCAATTTACCTTATAATATCATTCTTATTTTTTTGTTAAGCTTATTTTTTTAGAAAAGGGTATAGAGATATTTTATATATAAACCATATATATATTTAGTTTATATGTATACTTTATATAAAAAATATGTTTTGTTTTAATAAAATGAATAATATTTTTAAAATAACCATTTTTATCAAATGGAAATATTTTTCCCATAAAGGTATTGCAAATGATCAAACTACAAACACGAAATAATGACCAAAACAAAAAAATTCTTTTATATTACCATGTTGACTTTTAAATGAAATTCTTATTCGAATTTAAATTTATTATATAAATATTTATTAACCCTTCCTACTACTTATTGTTCAGCCGAAAGCGCTATGAGCAAAGTGAAAATAACCAAAACTCGAATGCGGAATAAAATTTTGGATTTTTTTTATATAAAATTTAGTATTTATATTGATCTGCATCGGGCCTACTTTTCCAAGCCCTGCCTAGCCGAATTTTTTTTTTATTTGTCCCAAAAAGTCCAATCCAATATTTGTCAACCCGACCTAATTTTATTTAAATATAGAAAAATATATTATTTTTTTTCTTGTAAAAAAAATATTCTACAAATTTTTATTTGACAAAATGTAATGATATCTTATTTAAAAGTTTAAGCACATCCAAACTAGGTCAGAAATTTTTTAAATTTAGGCTCAACCCAGCCTGAACCGAAATTTTTTTTTAAAAATAGGCCCGGCATGAATTGGTCTCGACCAGATCTCTAATTTTTATCCAGGAAAATTGATCTTTTTGAAAAATTTACTCCTTGACATCTAAAAGGTTATCCAAATTTTTAATAAAATAAGCAATACATTTTTTTCGCAACTCATATATAGGCCTTTATTTTTTAAATTTAATTTCATCATAATTTAACATAATTAGTTTTTTATAATTCCAGTGCAAATACTGTATTAATTTTATTCTAATATTATTATAAAATAATTCAACAATATGTTTTTCATTAATTAAAATGTAATTTTTTAATTTCTTCGTTAAAACTGTTATGTTTGATAATAAAACCTTCCGGCACATCTTACAATGAAATTTATACCCTTTGTTAATTTTTTTTATCGAGATTAAAATATTTTGCAAATTCTAGAAAAGGAAATTCCATAAAATATAAATTTCAAAATTAAATTAAAAGATTATGATTTTAGAATTAATTATATATATATTTTAATAATCTTTGTGTGAATTTATTATATAAAATTGATCGCTACGCTACTGCTATTTTTTTTAAAAGTAGCGTGCTGAAGCCATCGTTGCTGGAAAAACGCGCTACACTACTTTAACACTGATTACCAATAAAAAATTAATTATTTTTTCTAGCCTAAATAGGCCTGAAAGATTGTAAATAAAATTTTGTTGTGGGATTATAAATGGTAGCTTATTAGAATATTCTTTTTATTAATATCATAGCATTATGGTTTGGCGAATATCGCGGCCGAAGGTTGCGGAATTTTTTAAGGAGGTAGGGGTAGATTTTGTAGTTTATTTCCAGCAAATGTTCTGCCATGTAAACGCTTCGCCTTGTGTCCTAATATGGATCACAATGTAGAAATTTGGGTTATCTCCTTGAACCTAAGCACTTTATGAGATGATCAATATTAGGGCTGTCAGATGCTTCAAATATTTTGGGAGAACCAAGGTTTTGAGATATTTTTTTATAGTCCACATGACAGCAAGAATTCTATGAAACTATATCAACTACACTCATTATCTTAATATCAGAACTCTATTTATTTAGTATTACTGTTCACTCCCAATATTTTTAGTTAATAACTTACTAATATAAATATAAATGGGTAAAAGGATATTTTATTAAATATAAAGAAATTTTGAGATATTATGAAATATATATCTTAAAAAAGATTTACAATTATCTTCTAAATAATTTAGGCTTAGTTGTGAGTACGAAATATTTATCTAGTCACAGAAAAGTTATAAATACCTGTTAACAAAATATAATAATAATTTTTTTCCATACCTCCTTAAATAATGGGGAAATTTTTTAATCATCCGTAATCTAATAAAAGGGAAATTTATATTTTACCCATCATCAAATAAAGTAGAAAGTTATGATTATCTGCTAATATTTTATAAATTATATCTTAAATTTGCTAAACATGCTTATATCATTTAGAAACTTATTGAATAAAGATTTTATGAATTTATATCAATACTAACATCTGCATAGTTGAAAGTACTAAATATATACTATACTCTCCATCAGCAACACATAAGGAGCTATCACATTACAAAGATATTTTAAATGAAATAAACTGCCCAAATTTCCAAATTGGTGAACAAAATTCTAAAACTATGGTTGAAATAGCTGAAATGAGAAACTCTTTAATTTAGATATCTATATTAAAAGATCCAATAATATTATTTTAGTTTGAATTAACCTATCTTTAGTTGCTTTTTTGAACGAGATAAATAATAAAAGTTAAAAATGGGATGAAGATTAAAGCAAAATATATAAAATTTTTATATATCATGCCTAGTAGCGCACCCCCAAAGTAATTGCCTGATACGAGTATCCCGGGTTCGAATCTCATTAATTTTAATACTTCAAGATAATAGGAGCGTGACAATAATTATGTGATATATTTAATCAAAGTATTTGATCATATTTGATCTGTCAAATACTTTCGGTTGACCAACCCTGTAAAATACTCCATTATTTATAAAAAAATATATATTGAGTAATAAAGAGACAAATAAAACCAGATCATTTATTAGTTTTATGTGTAATGTTAAATGAGAGTTTCCTATTCAAGAAAGAAAATGTCGGAAAACAATTTTGGAAAAAGTTCTATATTTAGGAAAATGTTCAATCAAGATTTTGAAACTTTGCTTTATTGAGTAATAAAGAGACAAATAAAACCAGATCATTTATTAGTTTTATGTGTAATGTTAAATGAGAGTTTCCTATTCAAGAAAGAAAAGGTCGGAAAACAATTTTGGAAAAAGTTCTATATTTAGGAAAATGTTCAATCAAGATTTTGAAACTTTGCTTTTGATTAATTTTTTTGAAAATGCATATAATATTTACTCCTAAAGCTAATCATCTAAATTTTGTTAAAAATATATCTTGGGCTTGTTTTCAATAAAGTATGGGAGCAGATTTTTCGCTTATTTTCAAAAATCATTTAAAGCCTCAGTTAATAAAAATAATTAGATATTTTGCTTTAAACTATAAATAATCCATCAAACTTTAAAAAATTTCTATATATTCATGATTATAGCAGCCGAAAGATTAAAAATTAGAAAGTACCACTACTTTTCAGATTTTATTACATTGGCTATCATTTTGATATTTCTAATCAATAGGGATAGTGGATTCTCTCTTAATTTTACAACACAACGATGAGACCTTTCTATTTCTTTTTTTAATTGTTTTTCCTCCGTCATGTTTTTTTAAATATGCTAATTAACAAATTTTTTTAAAATTATTATGTTTCAAATAGTTCACATGTTTATTTATATTTATATCTTAATATATGTTATTTCCAAATTTTTAAAAATAAATAAAAGATTTAATATTAAAGGGGAAGTTATATTATACCGATTAAACTTGTTACCAGGTTTTTAGCTTATTTAGAAAAACAGCTAAAGTGGTATAAAGTAAACCACTGGCTTCGGAATTAAGTGACAAGAGGTGAATTAAGAAATAAAAAGGGATGAGATAAAAGCCGTGTCTCCTTATAAAAAAACCAAAATCAATTAAGAAAAAATAGAAAGAATGAATGTTCTTGCGTAGTCTGTAACCAAAATTTCGAAGAAACAAGTAGGAAAATAGATTAATTGTACATTGTATTTGTAATCATCACACAAGGAATGTGACAATTGATTTCTAATCAGCCTTTAGATTGATTTTTCTGTAATTTAAATAAGTTCCTACCTAAATATTTAATAAAATTCAAGATGGTTTTATCCCATTTTATCCAATATACTTTGCCATCTTCGGACATGGGATGTGATAGAAAAAATCGACCACTACTAAATCTTAAATAGCGTTTATGAGGCGAGAATACAATTTTTGTTTTGTAGCTAGTTAAATGTTTAATTTATCATATTATAAAATTATTAAATTTGGTTGAAATATAATAAAAAGTTTATCCTAAAATCTTTGACATCCAACTTTGGTCTCTCCTACACCTTTTTATATGAATGATCCATTATTTTCCTTTTTGATTTGAAACTTTTCCTAATAAGACGTATCCCCAATTAATTGAATTTTCTCCCCCTTTAATTAACGTGTATCTTCTTTTAATAGAAAATCTTCTAAATTAAAATTTAATATAAATATATCACTCCTAATAAATTATCAAAATCTTTTAAACTTAGTATATTCTTTCTATATTTCATTTATTATTTCTTTATCACAATTAATTCTTTGCATTTTAATTTTTTTATTGATAATAAAATCAGTGATTTATTCAAATGTTTCGATATTATCAAGATCATTAGGAATAGATATTTCGATATTTGTGTCATTCTCGACTATTTCTGAATGAGTAGTAAGCGCTTTCCCACTTTTATTAATGCCCTGGATTTCAATCGTATCCTCATTCCTGGAAATATAATCTTAAATTGGGCATATTATTGTTAAATTTAAAATTGATAATAAATGTATAGTGATTGTAAGGATCTTTATTTATATTCATCTTTCTTCCCATATCCTTTAACATGGCACACTTATTTTCAAAATAGCTTACCATGATTCGAACATTGTTTCAAGTCTTTAGAGTACAAAGCATATCGTTCCGGCAGTGTTTGTTTAGACCATTCGTATATTCTATACATTATATTATTAATGAATATGAAATTAGTAAAAAAATTTCAAAACTGATTTATTGAATTAGCATGTCGAAATTCGTCTTTGTCTTTATATAATACCAAAAACCTAGCTCGAGCCTTAATTAATTTAAAAAATTCTAAAAAACAATATTTTCTCTTTTTTATCAAATAAATATAATTAGAATTTTCTCGGATTAAGACAGAGAAATTAGTGATTTTTAATTTATGTAATATAAATTTGGGTTTATATGATATTTTCAATTAAATCAGACAGGGTCAGATTTAAAAATAAATAAAAATTTGGATCGGGCTGGGTTTGTGACAAAAAACGAAGGTTTTAAAAGGCATTTTGATCATTTGATATTTTTAAAAGATAGGTTTAAAAAAGCAAAATCAGAGTAATTTGAATATTATAAACTAAAAGAATTAATAATGATTATGCAAGCATTTTTATATTTTTTATTATGCAAATAATATGTTCAGGATTTTGGAGATTTTGCACTTTTAGTTTTTACAATTTTTTGGAGTTTTTACTTTTTTTTTTGTGGTAACATAATTTTTTACATTTATTTTTGTTAACTTTTGTTTTTTTATATTATTTTATAAATTTTATTAATTTATTATACCTTTAATGTTTATCCTGTTGATGAAATATAATAATTAAGATTAGTAATTTTTATATATGAAATTAATTATTATATTTAAGCATCGTCCCAACTTGAAAATTTGCTTATTTATTCCTTAATCCTATATCTATACATAAAAAAATTGAGAGAAAAAAATGCCGATTTGATTTTAGGACCAGACATTAAAATTTTTTTAACAATATTTGATATTATATAACTTTAACAACCATTAGACTATATGAAGAAATTTAAATGACGCTTGCTCAATTATATCCAAAAATTTTTAAATTTAAATGGAGTATATTTTGTCCAAAATGGCCCATTTTTTCAACCCATATCTCAGTCGCTGTTTGGAGTTGAGGGATAAAATTTCAATTTTTCTTTATAATATATAAAAACTCTTGTAAAAATTTTAGAAATATCTGAGGGAGTTTATTGAAAGCGTTTTATTGTTAAATTGCCAATGAATTTATATAAATTATCTAAATATGTTACATACATTTTTTGTTCGAGTTCTGTAGATATTATGCTAGAATAAACGAATTTATGAGCGAATTCTTCAATTTCTTTCTATATATCAGATACAAAATAATATATCCCTTTTCTAATTAAATGATATTTCATTTCTATCGTTATTTAATCTTATAAATGATATAAAATCTATTATATTACAACAGAGTTTGGAACCTGTTATCTCAGAACTGAGACAAATCTATGAACCGGAACCTCTTTTAAAATGTTCAGGAACCGATTCTAGCAATGCAAATCTATGATATTGTTCAAAATGTTGTGTGAATTATTTTTAAAGATATAATTTATTAATTAAATTTTTGGATATTTTTCGCTGCTTTAATAAAGTTTGGAACCTGGAAATATAAGAAATGGAGCCAGAATTCAGAATTCCTTTTATTTTAAAAAATAAAGAGTTCAATTAAATTAAATAACTTTATTAATGATGCATGTGAATTCGATCTAAATTCTAATCTGGGTAAATATTCTTAAAATAAAAATTTGAACTTAATTCTGTGACAAGTTCACATCAGATGAAAACAAATCAGAAGAGAATCTAATTCTAGGACAGGGTTCCTATAGAATATTCTTATTAGGATATACACGTAAAAAATTTTTTTTACATTTTGAATAATTCATTTTAATATACATAAAAACGCAAATTTTTGAAGATAATTAATTTTTAAAGTAATTAAAGATTTTGTAAGATTTTTTATATAAAATTGTTATATTAATAAAATTTTTATTGCAAGTAAATAAATGAAAATATGGTTTATTCTTTCACTAGTTAGCCTAATTTTAATAAAATGACAATTTCTAAGAAAAATTTTATGAAATTTTTAATACGCAATTATAAATTGGATATGACAAATAGTGTGGTTATAGCTTTAATTTTTTTCATATTACATGTATCTTTAATTGTTATTCAACAATTAATAAAATTAAGAAGAAATCTCTGATAAATAAGGTAAGTTAAATGATCCAAATTTTGTAGATATAATTTCTATGGCGCCAAGTCTTCAGATTTTCTGAGGATATAAAATAAGTTTAAACTTGATTTTACTTGAACCTAAAAAGTAGTAAAAAAATAGATAATTCCAATGGAAATAACATAATTAAAGGTTTAAATACAGGCTTTGTATCTAATATTTCAGAAAGTGTATATATAACGAAAGATATAAATGATAATTACTTGTGAGTGAAATTAAAAAGCAATATCTGAGGTTGTGATTGATAAACCTGTGGAGATTTTAAAAAGTAATAGTATACTAATAATGTTAAGCAATGTGAAAGCGAATATTTCTACGTGAGATTAGAGAAATTAAAGAAAGTTTAAAAAATCTTTCTAGAGACATATATACAATTAAAAATAAAATTTTTAGCGAAAATTTAATATTTGTGGTCGAAAAGGTCATAGCGAAAAAAATTGTTTTTCGCGTGATCGGAAAAATAATGAAAAGTTAATATAGATGTGGATTCTTAGTCAAGAAATTGCATTGTGAAAGAAGTAAATTTTAAAAATGGTTTTCCGCGGAGATCACCAGTATTGATAAACCGGTAGTTTGCAACATAAAAAATCCTGTTATTTCAAACTAAGTGAAATAGATATGTATAATATGGATAGTTCCCGAATGTGTTTCGATGTGAATTAATGGGTCCTATTGCTATGAATTGTGTTCAATCCATGAGTTGCAGTGACTATATGATTTGCGAGAAAATCATATAAAAATCGAGAAAACATATATTTATAATAATAAAATATTAACACATATAGTGTTGTAAAAAATTCTTTGGATATATTTAATAAAAAATACAATTGTCATGGCAATGATAGTTGTAAATTTTAACTCGAATAAAAAGAGTTGCAGTGTTGGAATTTTCATTGTCATTTGATGAAATAAAAAATTTTAAATTGATACTAATCTGAACAAAAAGGATTATTGTAATAAGAAAGGTGGGAAATATCCATTAAAGATATATAATAAAAAAAATTAATGATATTCAGTAAAAAGCCATTAAATTCAGGGATGAATAGGTATCAATATTAATTATATTGAAAGTGAAAATTCGAATATGATAAATATTTTTCAGCCGATTAAAACAGATAAAATTTTAATGAAATATTGAATGAACAATGTTCGTGTCCTCGGGTTAAATTGAAGAATGATCATATGTACTTTGACATGTTATTTGATACTGGTGCTAGTTCTATAATGTCTCGAGAAAATTTTTATAAATATTGGCCGAAAAGTATTATTGAAAAAGAAAATATGTTTGTGGAACAATTTGATGACTCCGAAATTAAAATTTTGAGTAAAACACAATGGGATGCTGTTTTTAATGATACTACGATAAGTTTGGATTTATGGGTGGTAGAAAAAAAAATGTAGAAACCAATATGGGGTGGGATTGGATTACTAAAATTGGACCTCGTAATAATTATTGAAATATTTTTATCATAGATAGCTAATTAGCTGCTGATAATGCTTAAAGAAAAATAATTGCGGATGGCATTCGAAATAAAAATGTCAGATTTAGTAAGAGAGGAAGTGAATCCCCTCATTATTTCTGATATTTGTGAAAATTCCGATGAATCAATTGTTGAATCGGATAGTTCAAAAAATAACAGTGAAAATGAAAATCAAATTGTTGATTTTGAATTTAATAAATAAAATAAAATGTGTGGAGATCAGAGTTGTTAAGGAGCAGCGCTCCTTTACACCTGGAGCGCCCCTCCTTTTTAAAATTGGGGAGCGGGAGCTAGCTCCTTTTAGGGCTGGAGTGGAGGAGCGCCGCTCCTTTAAATTTAATGTCTAAATTAAATTATTTTTTAAATATTAATAATATTTATTAATTAAAATTCAATAAAAATGAAATTTTAATAAATTTAAATTTATCTATTATTAAATGTTTAGCCTAGTTTTATATTGGGTTTTCATCTAATCATTTTAAATATTAAACATCAAATTTTCCTTTTTATATTGAAAATTTTTTGGAAAATCTTGCAATTCATATTAATATTCATTTTATAGATATATAATAAAAAATAGTTTTAGATATTATGGATTTAGAGATCATAGATGAAGAAATCGAATTTCCATTTCCATCATACAAAAAATATTTTAAACTTCTAAAAGATGTTGATCCAAATGATCAAATAAATTTAAGGGCAAAATGTCTTTTGTGTTAAATAAATTATTTAATTTTCAAAAGTGAGCAGCTTCAATCCAAAAAAACATCTAAAAGTAAAAAATCTTTCTCTTAAATACAAATTGATTTGGAAGATTTTTTTGGATTCCATGAAATTGATCATCAGGAAGAAATATATTGGACAAATATTTTTTAAATAATGATACCAAAATACTATTTTTGATAAATTCCCTGAATTAAAAAATATCTTTATAAAATACAATACCTCGCTTCCCTCTAGTGCTCCTGTGGAGTGCCTATTTAGTATTGCAAAACAGGTCTTAGGGGAGAGGCGTGGATGTATGTTAGATTCTAATTTATAAAATTTATTACTTTTAAAAGCTAATAAAAGGTTATAAATATTTTGATAGATCATTTAATTTAAATAAAGCTTGTATACCTTCTAAAAAAATGAAAATCAAAGGAGCGGTTATGGAGTGGCACTCCATTACATGGAGCGGGAGCTTGTTCCTTTTAAAAATGTAGCGGCGGGAGCTAGCTCTTTTTGAGAAGGTAGGAGCGGGAGCTAGCTACTTTTAAAAAGGAGCGTTAACAACTCTGGTGGAGATATATCCATTTTAATGGAAATTTTTGAAGACACTTTGGAATGTCTCAATGATTATTAAGTGGATGTGAAAATGGAAGAGGGATTTTCACCCATTTTTTTTATCATGTAGATGAGTTCTTTTTGAGTGGAAAAGGGAAAACCGATGGGTCAAGAATGGCATTATTATTCCGGTAGAATATAGTGAATGAGCTAAACCATTGGTTCTTGTTAAAATATCAAATGGAAAATAGAAGCTATTGCCAATTTTCGTGTAACACTAAACCGGTGGGTTGGTGAAGTTAAATCATTGCCTAGAATTGAAGAAATTTTGGCCATTTTAAAAGGTTCAAATATTTTTCAAAATTTGATTTTTCTACAGCCTATTTAGTTACCTTTAAAGGAGGAAATTCGTAAATTGTTTACGATAACGACTTCTAAAGGATAATTTGCTTTTTGTAGATTACCTTTTGGGTTAAGTGTATCAGCACCTATTTTTCAATGTACTATATGTCTTGATAACTTGGGTAACACCAGAATAATATAATCAACGTCTTGAAGAAGTTTTCAAGAGAATTCGTGACAAAGGTTTGAGAGCCAGTAAAGAAAAAAGTGTGATGTAACGGAGATAGTATATTTGGGTCATCTAATTAATGGGGCTGAAGTGAACACGCTTAAAAATAAACATGAATCAGCCTAGTAAACTGAGTTGCAGTCCTTTTTGGGCATGGTAAATTATTATCATCGTTTTGTGGAGAGCTTAGCAAAAGTGGCATCTCCATTATATGTATATTAAAGAAAGGTGTTCATTTTGAGTGGAAAATTGAAAAACAAAGGGTTCAAAATTTTGAAGAAAAAAATTGGTGAAGAACATTTTAGTGTTTTTAAAGGTAATCTTGGCTGTAGATGCATCTAATAAAGGTGTCGGAGGCGCGTTATTACATCTAATTGATGGTTTAGAGAGACTAATTATTTTTTTTTCAAAATTTTTCTAAGAAGTTGAAACTAGTTAAGGAGACCTTAGCGGTTATTTTTGTATTAACCAAGTGTCGTGAATATTTAATTGGTAAAATATTTGTGATTTATATTTATCATAAACCCTTAATTCATTTGTTTAAAAGAGATAACAAAGAATTAATGATGTCCCCGAGATTACAACGTTGGTTGTTACTTGTAGGAAATTTCAATGAGGAAATATCGGCGAAAAAAAGAATCATTTGTCAGATATTTTGTCCTAGATTAGGATCGGGCTGTGTAAATCCTGAAGTAATCGACATTATAATTATAGATAGAGAAGATGCATTAGTTCGTACTCTATGATATATGT